TCCACAAGTGTGAATTCGCAGAGCACCACTCGAAGAAAGATGGTCACAGGTATGTAACCTACCATTATTACTACTGAATAGCAAAACTATTTACTCATCAAACTATAAATACATTGTGGTCCTATAAGCCTTAATCATTCTTTTAAATTAGTTTTCCAAGCTCTTACAGTTTGTTTCTTCATAGTTTGTTTCTACTGTACTGAGGAACATTTCACAGTGGGATATACTCCTTTTCTGAAACTTTATGAACATGTTTCAGAACGGGTCCTATCACATGACGTTTATCCCATTCTGTCAGTAATCCATTGAAATTGGTCAGTAAAGCATCACAAAAATGAAGTAATTGCACACAAAATTTGAACTTTTTTATTGACTACGAATTTATATGTTGCTAAAGCACTGTTTTAATGAATGATCAGAAAATCAGTGCATTCCATCAGCTAAACTCTTGCAAGAATGGTAGTTTGAGACTTTCAGGCTACGTCACTGCACAATATTATATATTTTTAAGTAATGTTGGGAAGCATTTGAACAGATTAGAAGGGTCCAGCTTTCTGTGGTGTAATGAGTCAAAGTGCAATATTTTCAAATCATAAAAATTGTAATAATCGGGTGTGATGGGGAGAGTACGAATCCCATATGAATACAGAATGTATCCTAAAAAGATATGTGATGCATACTGATAGAAACAGATTATATCCCCGTGTGATGCAATCCTAAGACGGGGATCAGAAAGCCATGTAGCACTTATCAAGGAAGAAATACAGGTTGAGCATCCCTTATCCAGAATTCCAAAATTTAAAATACAGTGGAGTCTCGCTTATCCAACATAAACGGACCGGCAGAATGTTAGATAAGCAAAAATGTTGGATAATAAGGAGTGATTAAGGAAAAGCTTATTAAACGTCAAATTACGTTACGATTTTACAAATTAAGCACCAAAAATCACGTTTTAAAACAAATTGACAGAAAAAGCAATTCAGTACATGGTAATGTTATGTAGTAATTACTGTATTTACGAACTTAGCACCAAAGCACTGCAATGTATTGAAACAGCTGTGGATCCGGGCAGGAGGCAGACTGTGTTGGATAATACAGAACATTGGATGAGCGAAGATTGGATAAGCAAGACTACTGTACTCCAAAATATAAAATTGTCCACCTTTAATTCCTGATAGTTCAGTGCACAAAAACGTTGTTTCGTTAACAACAATATAAAAACTATTGGATAAAGTTACCTCAAGCTGTGTGAATAAGATGCATATGAACCATAAGTGATTTTTTTGTTTAGATTTGGGCCCAATCTCAAAGATATGTCTTATCCATAATTCCCCCCCCCCCTAAAAAAAAAATCTGAAATGCAAAACACTTCCAAGCATTTTGTAAAGGATACTCAACCTGTTGTATAGATCTGAATCTCTACTGCAATCAGGCCTAAATATTTCCAAAAGTAGGACAAATATGTGTTTACTGCACTAGTTGTCAGAGCTGAAGAGTTGAAAATCTATATGCAAAAAAATTCTAATGCAGCACTTCTTAACGAAGAGCAAGCATGCCTGGCTTACAATAATTTCTCCAGCACATACTGATGAAACTCTTTGCTTTTGCTAGTGTGGTGTGTGTTTTCAGAATCTGCTTGCGAACCTGTTACCTAGAGAAGGAAATTTTGATTGGGTCTTGCAGGTAAAATAGAGAAGATCAAGCCACCTCCATCCCCAACCGCTGAAGGCCCCCCCTCGCATTTGGACTCAGCATCAGATGAATCTGGAGGATCCCAAAGGCCCAAGAATCTGATGCAGACTCTTTTGGACGATTTCGAAACTCACAAAACCAAGAGGCGGGATAAAATGGATGAGAGCAGTGTAAGCATACTCTCTTTCTCCCATGCTGTTTCTTTACATACAGAGGGATATATTTTCAGTAATAGTAATGATATGTTTATTGAGCAACAACAACAATAATGCTTATTAATCACTTTTGAAGAATTACATGCACAAGTCATAAGCAAAAGGAAGGCATGTTAGTAGAGATGGCTTAAAAAACCCATGCCCTGCTCTCGACTGGGCCTTTATTAATAGTACACTTTAAAAAAAAGAATTGCTTGTGTTTGATGTTGTTGTTATTTGCTACTAAGTCAACTTTGTCTCTTGGCTACCTTACAAATGGGAGGCCTCCAAGAGGCTCAAGTCTCCACTGCCTTGCAATCCTACTGACTGTGGGGGATTGTCCGTGGTTGGATATGTGTTGTTTGACCAAACATAATCATGGCATTCCAAAGATTTCTGGTGCTGGGATGTCAGGGACAAGCAGCACATCCATATTGCAGCACCAGTTCTGTAAACTATATGAATAAGATAAGCAGAGGAGAAGGAAGCTCAAGTCCACATTGGGTGGAACATCAAGGCCTCAAGGAAGGTTTTCCTTATGAGATTTCAAAAAGATAGAAAATTCCTCAACTGAATTAGGGTATAGTAAAGCTTTCTGAGTTCAGTGAAAAGTTAGCCCTTTCCCAAGGCTGAGATTGGGAAATACTCAGCTTCCCCAGAGAATGCAAAGATGCAAAATTGAAGGACCTTATCAGAGTGTTTTTAAACAAACCTTTCTAAAACAGTGATTCTCATTCTGTGGGTCCCCAGATGTTTTGGCCTTCAACTCCCAGAAATCCTAACAGCTGGTAAACTGGCTGGGATTTCTGGGAGTTGTAGGCCAAAACACTTGGGTACCTAAAGGTTGAGAACCACTGTGAGAAACAGAAAAAAATAACACTAATGCATCCAGTTCATCAGAAGAGAAGGAATGTCACGTTGAGGAGGGGGTAATCTTGTTTTCTCTGTTCTGGAGACTAGGACATGGAGTAATGGATTCAAATTGCAGGAAACAAGATTCCACTAAACATTAGGAAGAATTTAATGATGGTAAGAGCTGTTTGGCAGTGGAATTTCCTGCCTTGGAGTGTAGTGGAGTCTCCTTCTCTTCAGGTTTTTAAGCAGAGGCTGGATGGCTATCTGTCAGGAGTGCTTTGATTCTCGGTTCTTGCATGGCAGGGGGTTGAACTAGATGGCCTTGTGGTCCCTTCCAAGTCTGATTCTATGAGAGAGGGGAACAGCCCCTCTCCTCTTTTGCTTTTTGAAGATTCACAGTGATTAGAGATGTATATTCATTCAATGTGGCTCCTCTCCCCAATGCTCCACGGTGCATGTGCTTATTGCCCACCAGTCTGAAGAGCAAAAAGAAGAACCCAACAATGTCAATGTGTTGCAGAAGAATTATAATCCAGCATCTCAGTTTCCAGCATATCTTCACAACACATTTGGACCTTCTTTTTGCAGACCAACACCTGAGTTTCCAACTTCAAATTAAGATACCATGTTTTGGTCTCTTTATTCAAGTAGGACTTAAAAACTGCAGAGTTCTTGGCCTTGCATAGTCACTGGTGTCTGTCAGTCAAAAAGTAGCCATTTATCTACTTTTTGAATGTTTAATGTAGTACTCAATCAAAGCAGAGTTGACTGTAGATTCAATATTAGTTTGCTTTCTTGTCAAGACTCACAGATTCTTCCCAAAGAATCCTCATGGATGTCAACAAACATGAGGTTCTTCAGAAGCATTTGAAGGCTGAAAGCTCATGTTCCAACCCAAAGACTTCCTTGGGAGAAGCTTTCCAATATGAGCTCTTCAACCTCTGTGTCAGAAAAAACTGGCAAGAGTAAAAGTCAAAGAAATTATGCTTGAAATTGAGAGAGTATTGATCGGGCACCCTAAAGCGAAAGATCTCTGTCCCTTTCTACCTAATCTAAAGGAACCAAATGGAGAACACAGGCCATATGCTTGAGAAAGTAATTTTTATTTGGAAGAGATCGGTAATTAAAAGGTTAATGTAGCAGAAACTGACAAATTACTCTCTTCTGTTTTAATTTTTAATAGTCTTTTCTGGACAGTTTCTTTTTTTAAAGGAAAGATAAGTTTGCTTCTGCTGGTGAATCAAGAGAGAGATACTAGTTCTCCTCTTAATTCGAGGTTCTCTTCTTTCTTTCTCTGTTCTTTATGTACTAATGATGATATTTTCTTTTCCTGCCAGTACACCGCTAAATTACTGTGTAACAAGGTTACTTCTGAGGTACTTTTCAAGCATTTGCCGTCACTTAACAAGTTGTCAATAATTATTTTTGCATGAGGATTTTGAATGCATGCTGCTGCAGTTTGCTTTCCATTGCTGCTTTGCATAGCTCTAGGAGTGATGGTCTAATTGAGAATAGACTTCATTTTCCCTTTTAACTCTCCTTCAAAAAGACTACACGTTAGGTTGATTTCAGGTAGATACATTACAATCAGTGGAATTTAGCTTCGCCATGGCCATGTCTCAGTGATTTCAGTGAATATACTCTGCATATGACTTGATTCACCATCTTGAATAATTATTTTCTTACCAGAAAATGAATTGGGGGAAATACAACTAGCAGGTTTCCAGATACTCAAGTTCAAAATATATGAAAACGGGTACTATTCAGCAGCCGATTTGGGGCTTCTGTTTATGATTATGTAGGTGATGGAGCATTCCAATTGGAACAACTTCTAGGATTTAGAGCAGTGGCTCCCAACCTGTAGTTCACGAGAATTAAAATATGGTCTGAGGCCTCACCGTTACTACACCATTGCAATGAGAGTGACTGGTCTTGCGAAACCCTCATATAGTGGCGAGACAATGGGGATGTTGGGAAGGGAGAGGCTAACTACCCATGAAAGGCGTGACAACAAACCTCTGCTGCTGCTTTTCCTCTTCCTCCCTCCCCCTGAGTGGAGCTGTATCACACGGCACCTGGAAGCGGGGGCACCTTGGTGTCTTCATTTTTAGACCTGTTCCTGGACTTATTTGGGGTGCTGATTCAGAACATTGCTTTAGATAGACCACATCAGCTCTAGAGTATTAAATATGGTTTTCTGTGGGCGAGCAGGTGGTGACTACCGGATGGCATATGTTCTGTATCAAAAACTAGAGTGAATGTGGTCTATACAATGCAATTTTCTGAATTGGTACCCCAAATGACCAAACCTAATCTAAAGTTGACCAAAAACAGATTCATAACCCTTTTGGTACTAATGTTGGAGTGTGGTCCCTGGTTGGGAACCATTGATTTGGAACAAAATATTCAAATTATGATCGTCACTGTAATGGAAGTGCTGCTCAAGAAGGAGACTTCGTGTTCTCCTGGCACTATTTTGTTCAATGAGTTAATCTGAATTATTGATATAGATCAAAATTGCTACATTGCCCCTTTTAATGGAAAAAGCAAGAAATAAATGTTTAAGAAAAATAAATAAAACTTTATATTAAAGGAAATATTGCTGTGTTTATTCTGCCTGTTGATGTGGATGACGTCCATTTCTAATACATTTATATGATAATTGAATAACTATAATTGAATATCAAACAAAAAATAGTACCTTTGTTTTATTTATTTCTATACTGTATGACACTTTGTAAATCTTATCTTTATCATCAGAAGGCTACTTAACTGTACACCTTAGTTTTTTCTGTTTCTTACATGTGGTAAGGCAAAACTTTCACAGAGACTTTTGGAAACATAATCTATAAGTAAAGGTAAAGGTTTTCCATCAACATTGTCTAGTCTAGTTCGACTCTGGGGGGGTGATGCTCATCTCCATTTCTAAGCCAAAGAGCCGGTGTTGTCCATAGACACTTCATAGGTCATGTGGCCAGCATGACTGCATGGAGCACTGTTACCTTCTCGCCCAAGCAGTACTTATTTCTCTATTCACATTTGCATGTTTTTGAACTGCTAGGTTGGCAGAAGCTGGGGCTTACATCGGGACCTCACCCCATCCCACAGATTCTAACTACTGACAAGTTCTGCAGCTTAGTGGTTTAACCCGCTGAGCCACTGTGGCCCCTAACAGAATCTGTGGCTTGTCCTTAATTGAATTTTGACACATCTGAGTTATTAACACTCAATAGACCTGGACATTGTGGTTTTGTCACCAATTGTGAGTAATATGAGCATGTTATAGGAAATTGCAGGGGAGACACTTGCTCCTAATCCTTCCAGTGGAATTTCTGGTGTGGTTATGGGGGGAGAGGGGAGCGGTGACATTTCTGTTCCTCTTTCTAGGATATTTTCCTTAGGTCGCAAATTCTTGTATTTCAGAGGATATGATCCTAAAAAAAACATTCATACTTAGAATTCTTATATATTTGCTGGGTCCACAGTCTTAGTAAGTTTTCTTGCCCCTTTTGTTTGTAGGTCTGAGCAGTATATTTCTGAATGCTTAACTGAAGGTTTAAATTACTAAAATGGTAGAAATTTGGAGAGAGAATAGAAAATTAATTTGAAAGGACAGAATTCTTATTTTTGGAACAGCCGTGGCCTCATTTTGCCTCCCTAATAGCTGTACTCTTGTGGATATCTGTTTGACAGAATAGGCGATATGTGTTTATTTCTTTCAGAATGATAGGCGCGGTTTTTCTACTGCTAGTTTATAGTGCTACAACTTTAATCTTGTCTAACCTAATGTTGTGAATGCAACTTAATTATCCCCCCAAACCAGGAACTGCTTCACTTCAAAGTAAATTCAATGTACCTATTAAAATATTATTTAAATGCCATATGTATATGCAAATATAAATACAATTTTATTATTTTTCTCAGGATCACAGTTTAATAGAACAGAATGGATTTATGAGTGAATCTAAAGCTAATATAGTCTGATTTGTCCATCCATGACACATCTTTCTTTGCATGAACATACTTTTAAAGAAGTATGCACCATGCAAAAAGGCTTTGAAATGGTTTAATTTAGGGTTTCCATCGTTTTTAATCCAAACCATATTTTTAAACAATGCCTTCATATTCGGAATATGTGAGACTTACTGAAGAATCTGACTCTTTGTTTATATGTTCATCACTTCTCTCAGAATTGTTCAGAAACGTTGATTTAGATTTAAACATCAACTTCATATTTTACGTCTAAGTGCAACATAAAAGCAACTCAAAATCTGAAAACTCCTGTGAAATATTTGCTAGTCCCTTAAAATTCCCCAGATGTTTCACATGAGGAAGAATTCCATATCAATCCATCCTTGGAAATAGCTGGGGAACATCGGTGGCCCCTCTGCTCAACATGGACACTTGGGAGCAACATGGACACGTGTCAAATACATGACCTCTGCTCACTATTCACTGTATCCAGGCATTCATCTCCCCACAGTTTCCCATACAATGCAAATCAACAGAGATTTCATAGCAACATTTTTCCTGAATTAAACACTTCTCAGTTACACTTCTGATCCAAACCAAACATTTCAGAAACAGTAATTCCTCCTTAAATTAGTAAGGTATTTACTTAGTCGTGAGGCTAGCTTGTATATAGTACAACATGAACCTTGTCTTCATCGACTCATTGGAATCCTCGAAGTTGCCCAATAGCTTTCTCCAGAGGGTTTCTTAGTCCTATATGGAACAGCTTTTTGGGATACACAGGAAAGATGAGGCCATCACAATCTCTCTTCTGGGAGTCTAATTAAGCCATTGGTTTTTTAGGTGACATTCCAAATGGACTGGACTTTTCCATTTCATTCATTCCCACAGCAACTATGTTGTGGTCCACTGATGTGAAAGGGATATAACAAAGGTCTGGTTGAGTTTTAGTGAAGTATAATGCTCTCCCAGGAGTATAATGCTCTCACACTAGAAGTGACTTGCAGTTTCTCAAGTCGCTCCTGATACGACAAAAAAAAGGGGATGAATCATCTAACACTTGTTTCCCAACAGAGCTTCCTATTGTTTTAGTGGTAGAGATCATTTGGGGGCATTTAGAAGTAGAGTGTTATGGGAAAGGTAAGATGAATGTGTGGTTTTCAACAGGTGATTTCTCAAATGAAGTAAGGAAGAAGGCCAACCAATCATATCCTTTAGAACACTGGTTCTCAACCTGTTTTGGCCTTCAACTTCCAGAAATCCTAACAGCTGGTAAACTGACTGGGATTTCTGAGAGTTGTAAGCCAAAACACTTGGGGACCCAGAGGTTGAGAACCACTGCTTTAGAAGGTATGATAGGTTGTTTGAGGGCAATGGATGGCATTTAGAGACTAGCTACAAATCCTGAAGGCCTTGGACTTCTGATAGTTGCCCGACCCAATGTAGGTAGAGAAAACATTGCAGTATATGCCCATAGTATAGAATGCCAATTGTAATTCTTTTTGCAGCTTTATGATAGAAGAGCAATGAGAACAGAGCTACATGTGATTGTTCTCTAAAGAGTGTATATTTATTGGGTTGCTGTGAGTTTTTCGGGCTGTATGACCATGATCCAGCAGATTTATTGCTTATTGTTTGCCTGCATGTTGTTCCCAATGTTCTGTGATTGTTTCATGGCTTTACAAAATAAGCCATCCCATTATCACCTAAAACTGTGGACATGACAGCTACTCATCAAGACTGCAGAGGGATGTAAGGGTTGGGATGAGTCAGTTCCTAAAAGAACTGTTCTTTCTGGTTTTTAGCACTGGGCTTTGGTCCTTGGGTAGAGAGTCATGGCAGCTACGAGAGTTTCCGTTGGTCCTAATACTGCTTGTGTTTCATGCTGAGACTGTGTTTCATCAAGGTTACATCTGTGTTCTTTCTTGCATGTGTTTTTTCATTGACATGCTTAAATTCAAACATCAGAGCAGGAAATGTAAAAGTAACCACTGCTTCAGTGTCATGTTTACTTTTAGGCCGCAGTTGTGCTGACATGTTTGTCCGGGTCAATAAAAAGTGTAGATCGAGGCAAAAATAGATATGCTTTTCAGTCATCCAACATCTGCTGGTGTAAGAGATTTTGAATTGCACCGAACTCTTCAAGGGCTACCCATTCGGTCTGCCTGTATTGGAAAATGGTATCTAAATGAATTATATTCTTTCTCTTTCTTTTCCTCCACAGGTCCTTGAAGCAACTCGAGTCAACCGCAGGAAAAGTGCCCTGGCGCTGCGGTGGGAAGCTGGCATTTATGCCAACCGAGAGGAAAATGAATAGCAATCTTGATAAAATGAGAGAGCTCTTTTTAAAAAAAATAATTGCAGAGACTTAGAAACCAAATAGGAAAAGAATGTTTTAAATTTTTAAAAGCTACATCATTTTAATCTGATATTTATTACCACTCTACCGGTCTCTGCAATTTATGTTCAAGACAGGAACAGTCCATATATAATGTATGTATCCATATGTATACACGCACAAACACACCGAACAGTTATGCTCAAAAAAGCATCTGCTTAACCCCCTCCAAAAAAAACAAAAACCCTGAATAAGAAGAGTAGCTCTTTAGAGCTGATGTTACCACTAGAGATCAGAAATTGCAACAGCCATAATGCAAAAGGACAACACATTTTGGAATGAGAAGAGTTGACACCGTATCTTCTTCACAGCCTTGTATTTGGAACAAAGGGTGTTCAACGTATGGACCATTATATCAGAAGAGGACGCCTCATGCGGAAATACACATCGGTTCAAGCATTGTTTAAACTCAAACCACAGCTCTTCATCCCATTTGTGATGTTTTCAGAGGAGGGCTATTATTCTGTTATCTCCTAGATAGCCATAGCATATCAAGATAGATCTGTATATATTTGCTGTTCTTTAAAAATTAGGGGGGAACTTTTGAAGTCAGTTTAGCTGACTGAAAAAGCAAGCAAAAAAGAGGCTATTAATTTGCAAGTGTGAATGTATAATCCATATATTTAGCCATAAAATGCATTTGTCCTATTCTTTTGAAGGATGACAATAGGATGGGCAGTTGACAGACTGTTCCTCTTTCTTCTTAACTTATCACAGGCAAAAAAAGTTGGAAATTTGCCATCACGTATTTACGTAATCAGTATGCTAACTACAGATTTATTTTCAGTATTTGCTGCACAAATCAGTAGGTAGGTTAGAAGAGGTAGAAAGAAATGCCAAATCAGGATGTCTTAGTTTTAGTGGTCCGCTTGCAGGTATCATTTGAGCGCTTTTTTCTGGGTGTATATTTGCATTGCCATCTATGTTTAATGGACAGCAGTTGCTACCATGGTGCAGCCGGGGAGACACAATAAAACTGAGTTAGAAAGGTAAGGGCAGAATCCAGGGATCTGAGTATTCTCTTCCAAGGCAATAATTGACCCTCAGATCAGATTAATCGAGAGAGGGACTTGAAAGACAAATAGTTATATCTTGAATTATATTTATGCTACATATTAAAGTCTTCTTGATAATAGAGCTGGGAGGGGGGTGTTTTGTGTTACTGGGAAATGAAAAGTTGGAGAAGGTAACAGAGCGACAGAAGAATCAAAAGAAGGGCCAAAGGATTATTTTTGCTGTTCCAACAGTGTTTTCAGAGCTAAAGGATTATATAGGAGTTGTAGTTGAAATGTAGGCTGAGAATCCATGACAAAGGAATATACTGTGTGTGTGTGTGTGTGGTTGTGTGTGTGTGTATGGAGCCGGAATATTAGGATGGTGAAGATATGTGGTTGTACAGATTATTTTCTCCAAAGCTGTTTGCCAGCTCTAGGGGTATAAACATTTCTTTTTGTATTAAAAGGGATATAAAAAGGCACTAAACTGATGCAGTATTTGTAATAACAAAGCTGACCTGACATTGTATTCGCATGAATTAACATTTCAGAAAGTATTGGACGGTTTTGTAATCTGGCATTTAGAAAAAAAGAAATGTGATATTTATTCTTGTGCTTTCTAGTATTAGAGGCTGCCAATTTATTGTTCCTCTGTTCAGGGAATGTGGTAGAAAATGTAGTGATGGAAACTCATAATTTTTAGAATAGAATCTGACACATTTGGTGGGATACTTGGTGGGAAATGGTACATGCATATTTGAAATAAATAAGGACTTCTGGCTATTTTTTTAAAGGGAGGTTAAAAAAATAGTGACCCATTATATATATTTTTCCTTTTATTTCATATTATTCTGTGTTTCATATTATGAGTGGGATGTTGTGTTCTGATATTTTAATTAGACAGAGAAGAAGTTTGCAAGTTTCAATAAGCTGAATCCTCCCAATCGTTGTGTATATACATATACAGTGGTATAATGACCCCACCAGCCTTGCTCTTTTCCATATTCTGTATGGAAAAATAAAATAGAAATGTGTGGATACAAATAGCCTTACTGCTTATATAGCATTGCCTGTGGTGGGTTTTGATCAAGTTCCTGAGCCACAGTTTTACATGTTATACAGAGCTTCTGTTGCCGGCAGTAGAGAACCCAACATAATACCTTCATGTTGTACCATTATTCTTTTCTTTGCCGCAACTGGCATTAGGAGATTTCTGCTAAACATGCATGGACTACACTGCTGGAACACAAGCGAAATGAAGTCCAGGCATGGTAAATCCTATAATCCTACTATCCCATTGGAAAAAAATACGTTACATTAAAGATATTTAAAGATGTATACTCTCTTCTCACTATATTTTAGTAAAAGATTTGGGTGCAATCCAGCCAAAGTTAAACACTTCTATCAATTTCCATAGAAATGTATTTTTAATTGTCTGTTGTTGAAATCAGCAAGATTTGAAACTGCTTACATGTCTCTCGGTTGTGTGTAAGGAATGTTCAGTCTCAATGGGAAAGAAGAAAAATAAATAGATGGAGAAAGGTGGAAGACACAGGCTGCTTCAAAATAGTCAATTAATCCAGAGCAGAATGTAGATTTATGAAACCCAGTTTGCTCCGTAGTGCCTACACAGGGACCAAAAGAATAGGCTGGAAGATGCAAGAGAATCCACATTCTGCTTCAGATTAATTGGCTCAATCAAAACCCAGGATTTTTTTCTTACCTTCTAGCAGAGATCTGCTTATATATACAGCCTTCTAGCACTTGCATCACAGCAAAGCAAGACACTGAAATCAAGCATTTTCATGGGAACGCTTCATTGCTGGGGGAATCATTTGCTTATCTTCCAGTTGGGCTGTAGAGCTACTTTTTCACTCTGACTGCTTTCTTACTTCTGTTTACATTACCACTCCACACTTTGCGTTGCTTATACACAGAAGGAATTCAGGGGGTATTATGGCTTGATCTGGGATTTAGGGTGAGTTTTTTATCATACTGTTTCTGGCTGGATTTGCTTAAAACAGTGGTTTTCAACCTGTTCTACTCCTTCAACTCCTAGAAATCCTGGCCTAACAACTAGTAAACTGGCTGGGATTTCTGGGAGTTGTAGGCCAAAACACCTGGAGACCCACAGGTTGAGAACCACTGGCTTAGAAGCTTGCATTGGGAAGGTGGGAGTTTTGTAGACACTGACCTTGAGCTGGCTTCAAGCTGGATGTTGGTGCCTGTGTAGGTGGGACCACACAGCAACTCAAAGAATGGCAGAGTTGTGAAGATCTTGGTAAGCAAAAGCTCGTTTTTCTTTCCAATGGATTTGTTCCGCTATTAGTAAAAATTGCCTGTACAATCAATTTAGGGTATTGTTCTTAAACTGAAGACCACTGGGGTCTTCTAAACAAAGTGAAAGCGTCTCAGAATTACAAAGAAGCAGTAAGATTCTGTGCTGAAAATACTGTTCAAATTAAGCTAGCATTCTTAAAAATAAAGCATGGCTGTGGTGAATTAACAGCTAATATTCTGTGCAACCCTTACTGCAAAATGATGGTTTTATCATGGCGAAAAATAAAACCAAAGATGATACATTTGCTTGGAAATGGATGTTTTCTTTCCTTTTTCCTAGGTTGTAGTCAACTAAACATGAAAAAAAAGAGTTGTTAAGGAAATTCCCCTTTTTCTAAAAGCAAAAACAATAAAAATGATTTCCAAATTATGTTTCATTTGTCACAGTATCTTATTCTGCCATGTGGTGGGAGGAAGGGTTGAGTACGTCTTTTCTTGGTGGCAAAAATTAGATCTTGGGCGTTTTAAATACACTTATTTCTCCACTATTTTGATCATGCTATTTTATTATTATGAAGTATATGACTAAGTGATGACAGTTTCTCTTTCAGGATTAATGCCATTTTCAGCAAGGGCATAGGAGCACGCATTGCTTCATGAAACAAGGAACAGGACTATTTTCCCTGTAATTGTTGTATAGAAGAGGGACTTTTCAGCAGATGCTCCTTGTGTTACAAACACTGACCACGGAAACTATGTTTTCCACAGAATCATTACATAAACAGGAACCATACCCCTTAGTTTCACTTGGCAAATCTGACAACAGCTGATTAGATTGTCAATTTTTGGCTTTGCCACAACTGTTTAAACGTCTGTAAATAAATCCCAGTACTTGATACAGAGAATCAACTGCAGTAATGGTTTTAGGATAGATGGATGGATGGATGGATGGATGGATGGATGGATGGATGGATGGATGGATGGATGGATGGATGGATGGATGGATGGATAGATAGATAGATAGATAGATAGATAGATAGATAGATAGATAGATAGATAGATAGATAGATAGAACAAATAGGCAACAGAGAGGTATTACTGTAGTTGGCTTTACTTATGCAAAGTTAACATTTCTGTTACCAAATATTGATATAACTGAATTGTGCACTGACAAAAAGTTCAGAATTAGAATTTTTGATGCTTCTTTTTGTTTCCTCAAATTATTTGTTGAAAATAAACATTCGGGTTCAACTTCATTTCCATTCCAATCCGATGGATCAATTACCTAACATTGCAGCATCTCACTTCCTTTGTTACAAGTAGGCAGTCAGCTGCAAAAGACATTAGAATTGTGCACAGATCCGTTTTCCTTCGTTACATCTTTTCTTTTGTACCTTTCATTATATTTGGAAGCACATGACAGGAAACCCCCTCCCAGTCTGAAAATCAGCTCAACATGAAAGCAAGCAGGAGCCGATTCCGGCTCCTCGCCTGCTTTTCGCGAGCAGCCTCCTTGTCTTGGAAAGAGTGTGTGTGTTGTGTCCAGGCTCAGAAAGCGCACATGCCTGCCTGCAGCCAAGCACCTCTATTCTAGAGAAACAGGTAAGAGAAGCCTCCTTAAAGTGTGTGCCTGCCTGCAGCAGAGCACCTCTCCTCTAGAGTGGAAACAGCTTAAATGCCTAAAATGAGATTTAAAAGGGGGAGCCTGGGACACCCCCACCCCCCCATAATGGGCCAATAGAAAACTGATCTTTTGTCACCCCAAAAATCCCTCCCAATTTCTGAAGGCTCCCGAATTTACCCAGATTGCACAAGCCTAAAAGGCATGGCTTCATTTTTGCATTAATTCCCTCAACATAGAATCATAGAATCATAGAATCAAAGAGTTGGAAGAGACCTCATGGGCCATCCAGTCCAACCCCCTGCCAAGAAGCAGGAATATTGCATTCAAATCACCCCTGACAAATGGCCATCCAGCCTCTGCTTAAAAGCTTCCAAAGAAGGAGCCTCCACCACACTCCGGGGCAGAGAGTTCCACTGCTGAACGGCTCTCCCAGTCAGGAAGTTCTTCCTAATGTTCAGATGGAATCTCCTCTCTTGTAGTTTGAAGCCATTGTTCCGCGTCCTAGTCTCCAAGGAAGCAGAAAACAAGCTTGCTCCCTCCTCCCTGTGGCTTCCTCTCACATATTTATACATGTCTATCATATCTCCTCTCAGCCTTCTCTTCTTCAGGCTAAACATGCCCAGCTCCCTAAGCCGCTCCTCATAGGGCTTGTTCTCCAGACCCTTGATCATTTTAGTCGCCCCGTCCTCTGGACACATTCCAGCTTGTCAATATCTCTCTTGAATTGTGGTGCCCAGAATTGGACACAATATTCCAGATGTGGTCTAACCAAAGCAGAATAGAGGGGTAGCATTACTTCCTTAGATCTAGACCTATGCTCCTATTGATGCAGGCCAAAATCCCATTGGCTTTTTTTGCCGCCACATCACATTGTTGGCTCATGTTTAACTTGTTGTCCACGAGGACTCCAAGATCTTTTCACACGTACTGCTCTCGAGCCAGGCATTGTCCCCCATTCTGTATCTTTGCATTTCGTTTTTCCTGCCAAGGTGGAGTATCTTGCATTTGTCACTGTTGAACTTCATTTTGTTAGTTTTGGCCCATCTCTCTAATCTGTCAAGATCGTTTTGAATCCTGCTCCTGTCCTCTGGACTACTTGGCTATCCCTCCCAATTTGGTGTCGTCTGCAAACTTGATGATCATGCCTTCTAGCCCTTCATCTAAGTCATTAATAAAGATGTTGAACAGGACCGGGCCCAGGACGGAACCCTGCGGCACTCCACTTGTTACTTCTTTCCAAGATGAAGAGGAAGCATTAGTGAGCACTCTCTGTGTTCGTCCACTTAACCAATTACAGATCCACCTCACCGTAGTTTTGCCTAGCCCACATTGGACTAGTTTCCTTGCCAGAAGGTCATGGGGGACCTTGTCGAAGGCCTTCCTGAAATCCAGGTACGCTACATCCACGGCATTCCCCGCATCTACCCAGCTTGTAGCTCTATCGAAGAAAGAGATCAGATTAGTCTGGCATGACTTGTTTTTGATAAATCCATGTTGACTATTAGCGATGACTGCATTTGTTTCTAAGTGTTTGCAGACCGCTTCCTTAACAATATTTTCCAGAATCTTGCCCGGTATCGACGTGAGGCTGACCGGACGGTAGTTGTTTGGGTCATCCTTTTTTCCCTTCTTGAAGATTGGGACCACATTGGCCCTCCTCCAATCTGCTGGAACTTCTCCCGTTCTCCAAGAACTCTCAAAGATGGTTGCCAATGGTTCCGAAATGACTTCCGCTAGTGCCTTCAATACTCTGGGGTGTAGTTGATCTGGCCCTGGGGACTTGAACTCATTAAGAGCGGCCAGGTATTCCTGGACAACTTCTTTCCCAATTTGGGGTTGGATGTCCTCCAATCTTGCTGAGGTTGAAGTCTCTCTTTTTGTGAGAAGACTGAGGCAAAGAAGGCATTAAGTAGTTCTGCCTTTTCCCTATCCCCTGTCAGCATTGCCCCATCTTCTCCTCGAAGAGGTCCTATCGCCTCCTTGTTTTTCCTTTTTCTACTGACATAAGAATAGAAGCCCTTTTTATTGTTTTTAATGTCCCTTGCAAGTCTGAGCTCGTTTTTTGCTTTAGCCTTGCGGACCTTTTCCCTACAGGTGTTGGCTATTTGTTTGAATTCTTCTTTGGTGATTTCTCCCTTTTTCCACTTCTTGTGCATGTCTCTTTTGTGTCTTAGCACAGTTAGAAGTTCTTTGGACATCCATTCTGGCTTCTTTGCACTTGTCCTATTTTTTCTGTTTGTTGGCACGGTTTGCAATTGCGCCTTGAGTATTTCACTCTTGAGAAATTCCCATCCATCCGTAACTCCCTTGTCTTTTAGTATCTGTGTCCATGGAATGCTGCTCAGCGTTTCCTTCATTTTTTGGAAATCAGCTCTTCTAAAGTCCAAAATGCGGGTTTGACTTGTCTTAGTTTCGGCCTTCCTTTGTACCTCAAATTGCAGGAGCACATGGTCACTTGCCCCTAAGGATCCTACCACTTCGACCGCATTGATCAGGTCCTCCGCATTTGTTAGGATGAGATCAAGAGTAGCCAATCCCCTTGTTGCCTCTTCTACCTTCTGGACCATGAAATTGTCTGCAAGGCAAGCGAGGAATTTGTTGGACCTTGTACTCTTGGCCGAGTTTGTTTTCCAGCAAATATCGGGATAGTTGAAATCGCCCATGACTACTATATCTCTTTTCTGTGCCTGTTTGGTCAACTGTTGGCAGAAGACTTCATCAAGTTCTTCCTCCTGGCTTGGGGGTCTGTAGTAAACGCCTACAACGACATCTTTTTGAGTCCCAGTTCCCTTGATTCTTATCCAGATGATTTCAAGCTGGTTTCCCAGATTGCTGTCTTGAATCTCTTCTGCAGCATAAGAGTTTTTGACATATAAGGCTACTCCGCCTCCTCTCCCCTTTGTTCGGTTTCTGTGAAAGAGGTTATACCCCTCGATATCTACATTCCAGCGATAGGAGTCATCCCACCAGGTTTCAGTGATGGCTATGATATCATATTTGTGGTGTTGTGCTAAAAGTTGGAGTTCGTCTTCTTTATTTCCCATGCTCTGTGCATTAGTGTAAAGACATGTGAGCCCCTGGGATCTTCCCTAGAGCTGTTTAATTGGGATTATTGTGCTTTTGGTACTTGGTCCTTGTTGTGTTTGTGCAGCCCTCCGTTTAGCCTTCTGGCGATTCCCAGACATTATGGGTAAAGTAGTGTTCGCAAGGCTGTTGTCCCCCTCCCCCGGTGGACCTAGTTTAAAGTGCGTCTAATGAGGTTTGCGAGTCTGTGAGCAAAAAGGTGTTTTCCTACTTGTGTGAGATGCACCCCATCCCTTGTCAGTAGGCCATCCTCCTGGAAAAGCAGGCCATGGTCGAGGAAGCCAAAGCGTTCCTCCTGACACCATTTTCTAAGCCAGTCATTGACCTGTACTATTTTTCTGGCTCTTGTGGGTCCGTGTCTTACAACAGGGAGGAGGGATGAAAAGACCACCTGTACATTACATTCTTTTAGCTTTGCTCCTAGAGCTCGAAAATCATTTGTGATCTTTTGAAACGTATGCCTTGCAGTATCATTGGTTCCTACATGAATCAACATGAAGGGAGGACGGTGATAGGGCTTGAGGAGCCTGGTGAGCCTCTGAGTGATATGGTGTATTTTTGCCCCCGGTAGGCAGCATATTTCTCGAGCCATCCCATCTGGTCTGGAAATGACAGCTTCCGTTCCTCTAAGGAGGAGTCGCCTACTACCAAGACCTGTTTACTTTCAGGAATGACAGGGCCCCTTTTTGTGCAATGTAGTGTGTAGGTCTCCAGAAAAGTGATCCTGTTGGTGCGAACTGTGTAGGTGAAAAGTGTTGTCCTCCTCCTCGACATCCCCGGTGCATTCGTCAAGGACAATCCATTGAGATTCGTCCAAGAACCTATGGTTCTCCTGTATGTGTTCCTGTTGCTCCTGGTCTATGGTTGGGGATGGTACACCTGACTGGGACAACACTTCACAACATTCACACTTGCACAATCGTGCAGGTGTACCATCCCCAACCATAGACCAGGAGCAACAGGAACACATACAGGAGAACCATAGGCTCTTGGACGAATCTCAATGGATTGTCCTTGACGAATGCACCGGGGATGTCGAGGAGGAGGACAACACTTTTCACCTACATTGTGTCCTGTTTCTGTTTTAGATGAATTGTGAGGCGTGCAGTGCACACATATAATTACTTTCTCATTAATGAAGTGGATATCGCCTCATTAATGCCTTGCATACCTTAACGAGAGGAGAGGATGTTACGATGCGCTCAGTTGAGGCACTGAGAGTGACTTTGTCAATCTGATGTGCTCTTAACTACCCTTAATATTACTACTGTTGCTGATGCTTACTTATGCAAGGCATACCTGACCTAGTATCACAGGTATACATTGTTAATTTAGGGCCCTTCCAGACAGTCCCTATATCCCAGGATCTGATCCAAGGTTTTCTGTTTTAAACTGGATTATACGATTATGGATTATACTGCCAGATAATCTGGGATAAACAGAAAACCTGGGATCAGATACTGGGATATTGGGCTTGTCTGGAAGAGCCCCTAGAATAGAAAGCTAGCATGTCAATCAGCTCTCCTTTTGAGAGATAGGAACCTAATTCTTAATCCTTGTGTTGATATTTGTACTGGCTCATGTATTGATGGACCAGGAGACCAGAAAATCACTCCCTGAGAGAGTAGTACTAGAGGGGATCCCACTGATTAGAAGAAGGAAAAACAGTGACTTCTGATGGATTTGTGCTGCCCTCTTGTGATGCATTGGAGTAATTCATCACTTTGTGGCTGCTGCCTTTTTGAGCCTGGAAAATTGTTTTCTTTGGTTTTATAGTCTGGGTAAGTTTTTTATTCTTATGGGGTAAGTATGGAGTAAGTTTTTTTTATTTTTTATTTTTGGCATGGGCCATGCCCACATATCGGATATCACTTCGTAAGTACAAAACTGAACAAATTTGATCCAATTTTCGAGACAAACTTTAAAAAATGCACACCTCTACTAAACGGTTGTGGCACAGGTTACTTCTAAAGGCTGCTTGCCCATAATAAGGTTCCAAGATAGACATATCTGTTGAAAAGTGAAGGAATGCAGCTTGACTCTGGCACATCTAGACACAGGGATACTACACAGATGTACATGTTTCCCTTCCACACCAGTGTCAGAGGTGTTACTAGAGTTGGTGTCACCCAGCATGGTAGCTCATGATGCCACTCACGTGGACCTTCTATACCAGATTATACCACAATATAGGAGCTAAAATGCTAGAAAAGGTTGGCAAAAATCAATGACCATTAAAAACCAGAAGCAAGAAAACCAATGTGTAAATGTAGACAAAGCCATGCGATTCGATGTGTAATTGTAATTGGATAATGACAGTGCATAATTAAGGTTCAAAAAGTAAATTATTTTCAGTATATTGATAATATACTTAAAACCCTCTGCTATTTGACTTTTTGAACCTTCATTATGCAATGTCATTATCCAATTACATGTAAGCTGGGTTTACAGGCACAATATTTTTGTGATTGTATTTAACTACAGGAATATTTTGATAAATATTTTTATAAATTCTGTGGAAATGCTGCACAACAATTTTAGAATCATTTTGGTGTCATCCCCTCCAGTGGTGTCACCTGGTGCAGTTTGCATCCTCCTAGTGATGCTACAGCCTATTTATTTATTTCTAGTATTTCTATCCCGTCTTTTCTCTACCCCCTCAGGATGGCTTACAGACAGTAGCGATGCAACATTGCTACCCAACAATTACAATAATAAAATCACAATTAAATACAACAGTAATCATTAAAACAGTAATACATTAAAAAAATCACAATATCTTCAGCCGTAACGTAATTCCAGTCCATGTCTAGCTACAGTGCTCCTTATGCCTATTGTCCGAAAGCCTGGTCTCAAAACCATGATTTTAATTTTTTTTTCTGAAGGCCAAGAGAGATGGGGTAGATGTTATCTCATATGGGAGTGCGTTCCATAGCCTACACACCCCAGAACCAGAGAGTGAACGTTGCTGAGTCCACCTTATTGTGGGACCAATGGAAGCTCAACTTAAAACTGGGGACTTTATCACACTATTCTGCCATCACGTGAGATCACAGGTGCCAGCAACTTAACAGGATAATTGCTGTCATCTGTATTGCGTGTTTTAGTGGTTGCATAGCAGTGATGATCAGTCACTCCATGTCTCCGTGGCTGTTACTTTGAAACTCTGGGTGTAACTACACACCCTCCTGCAGTTTCACTCCTCAGTAAAGATTTTAAAAACTATTTTGTAAAAGCAAATTTGCAATTCCAGTGAAGTTTAGGGGGGAAAATAATGTGAAGGAGTTCAGAGGAGACAATCCCACACCCTGATTTTACTTCTTTGACAGCAAACTGGGCCCAAGGCAGATCAGGATCATCACACAAGATTCGTTGTGACACAATCAGGGACTATGGACAGATTTGTCACGGGGAAGCAGTAGACTAGAAGCAAGTTGTGCCATCATAAGTGATGGCCTTGTTTCTATGGCAGTTTGCCACCTTTATGCAAGTCCTAGGTCCTCCTGCTCTGCATGTCTACACCAAGCATGGACAAACTTCTTTGCCTTGGGGCGGCCTTGTGGGCCTAACTGCAAGTGCTGGGCCGGGAGGGAGTGTGAGTGGGGCTAGAAGGGGTGGGGCTGTGGGACAGAAGGGGGTGGGGTCAGGTCAGAAGGGGTGGAGCCAGGGTGGATGGGTGAGGCTGGAGCCTTGGAGGTGCTAGGGCTGGGAGAGGCAAGGGATGGGTCTGTCTCCAGGGAGATAAACATGCCGCTGCTGGTAAGTAAAGTTTATTGATTAGTCCACTGACCATATCAACAGTAAAACACAAAAACAAGAAAATACACAAATAGACAGTAATCACTGTCCTAAAACTTCTGTAATAGTGAACATACATTAAAACACAACTAAAACTTGATTAAGTTAAAAGTTAAAGATAATTAAAAATATCATCATCTTCATTAAAGTGCCATGGTAAAGGACGAAGTTAAGGACAAAGGCGTTGTTTTTTTGTTTGTTTTGGTTTGGTTTTTTGTCATATCAGGAGCAACTTGAGAAACTGCAAGTGAATAGTGGTAGTTAAAGAGCACATTCTAATGATTATTTCTGTGTTTGATTTATTAAAATATTCCCATGCAAATCCAAGTAATGAAGGTGCAGGCATTACTTTTCATTCAACCCCCATATGTTGCTTCTTTTCATCTATGATATGTGGGTTGGCCACAGGCTCCCTAGCACATCAATCTCTTGTTTCACTCCTCCCTGATGAGCAATTGCTAGCCATCCCTTTGCTTTCACCTTCAGGAATGCTACAGCTCATCAGAGAGTTATCTCTAGGCATGGCTCAGGAATTGCTTCTATACAAATATGTAGGCCAAGCTCTCTCCCCACCCAGGTGCCTCTGTCCTATTTGCAAATCAAATGAGGTTAGAGGAGGGTGGGAATCACTTGGCTCAGAAAAGAAGTGAATTAGCAATTTGGGACTTTCCCCTCTCACTTTCCATTAGCGGTGATTTGAAGGCAATAGGAATCAAAACAAGGATGTCAGCACTATTTCCAGTAGCTAATTATATTTTTAAATAAATATTTATTATTTTTAAGTACCTTACAATCAACTGTAACTATAGCTAATCTATCACAAGGTTTTTCAGTCCAAGATTTATGCAAAGAGGATGTATCATTGTTTCCTGCCAATACTGAGAGAGTGTGACTTGCTCAAAGTCTCCCATGGGTTTCCACAGCTGAGCAAGGATTCAAATACTGGTGTCCCAGAGTCTTAGTCCAGCACTCAGACCAAGGCTGGATCTACACTGCCATATAATCAACCTCTGATTGGAGATTATCTGCTTAGAACTGGATTAGATGAGTCTACGTGACATTTTGTTTGTTGTTGTGCTGAAAAGTTGGGTGGGAAAGCTGCTTTTGCCCATTGCTGACGCAGGCAGCACGAGCTGTACTATTTTGTTCAACAACTGTCCTCACATTAAAGGATTTGACAAATGGCTATGTATATTTCTTCATCTTCCCTCCACTTCTCCCTCTTTGTCATCTTCCAGATCAGGATTGGTGAGAGAAAGAGAGGACAGCAGCATAAAAAAGCAGCACCCTGTCTCTTGCTTGGTCTCTTTACTGTTGCCATCCACACTCCTTTCAATGCCATTGTTTTCAAACTGGCTGAGCAATTCTCTCTCACACACAAAACCAAATGCATCTGCCTCCCAAGCAGAAGGAAGTGCTCTGATTGGGTGGTGCGTAATCCATTGGTCAACCTGCTTTCGCTTCCTAAAATGAGGATTTCCCCAGGCAAGGTCATGTGGTTCTCTTACATTTTTTAAAAAGCAGGAAGAGCCACAGTGAAGAGGCGTAGTCCTAGGCACACAAAGGTAATATGAGACGGAGAGGCTGAAAAGAGAGGCAGAGAAAGAGGAGAAGGAGATAAGTTTGTCTGTTCAGAGAAGCAACTGTAGAAATCTCTCCAACTTCAGCATAATGAGTCCAGCTTTTGTGATAGAGATCAAAAAGATCTCTTGATGGTTCTCAGAGATGGTTTACGTCCTTTACAAAAATAGCAAGCACTGACTGGTGAGCACAATGGAACCGAGGACCTGGATTGAGCCTGTTGTTGCTGCTGCTCAGCTTGCCAGTGCTTTCTTTGACACAGGGCTACTGCTGGTGGTGAAGAACTACTATAACCAGACCAACTCCTCTTCCTTGGCCTCTTCAGACCGTGACAGTGAGGCAGGACAACAGAAAGCCATCTCCAACTTTTACATCATCTACAAGCTGGTGGATGGTTTAACTCCACTCTTGTCAGCTTATGGCCTAGCAAAACTGGGCGATCTGAAGAACAGGAAGATTTCCATCTGTGTGCCTCTGGCTGGCTATTTGCTGTCTCGGATCCTTCTGCTCCTCTTGATCCTCTTGGAGTGGCCCGTTGAGGTGATGTATGGAGCTGCCATCTTGCATGGTCTGACTGGGGGCTACACCACTTACTGGGCAAGTGTCATGGCCCTGGGATCCCAGCGCTCCTCTGAGAGCAGGAGATCATTGCGCCTCATTGTTATCGAACTCATCTATGGCATTGCTGGTTTTGTAGGCAGCGTTGCATCTGGGCATCTCTTTGTCAGCTTCCACCTTACTTACCAGCATGGCACAGTCTTGGTGTCTTCCAGCGTTGCCTTATATGCTTTCTGCCTCATCTACAGTCTCTTTGTCCTCAGAGTGCCCAAACCTAGAAGTTCTCCCCCAGCTTCTCCTTCTTTGAACATAGACCATTCTGAGAGCAAGTTGGCCGATGAAGAAGATTCCATCTTCCATAAAACGAAAGGGCCTTTCATGATGGTCCCTTCCAAGCTCATCATAGTCATGCTTTTCATGGGAGCCATCATGTATGACGTAGCTGTTGCAGGAGCTATGGATGTTCTGCCCCTCTTTCTGCTCAAGGAACCCCTCAGCTGGGGACCAGAATATATTGGCTATGCCAATGCTGCTGGCTACTTGATCTTCATCACCAGTTTCCTGGGAGTCTTAGTTTTCTCCAAGTTTTTAAAAGACACCACCATGATCATGATGGGTATTGTGTCCTTCTCAGCAGGCATCCTTATCATGGCCTTTGTGCGACAGACGTATCTGTTTTACATTGGTGAGTCAGAGATACTCCACAACTTTTTTTCCTGTTTATCTATCATACTTATAGCTCAATGTGTGACTTCACCATTTCCTTTAAAGTTATTTACATCATTTGTAGACATTTAGTTTCATCGGTATCCAAATGTAAACTTGCCTTTATGCTTTCTTCATTTATTTTCCTCAGTAACCATTCTAAGCCTTTGCAATTTTCTATTAGTAGTATGGTATCAGCTGCATATTTTAAATTGTTAATGTTCCTTCTTCCAATTTTCAAACAGCTTTCCTCGGAGACTAATTTCATTGTACATATATTTACAGCATACAAGTTAAACAGATAAGGCAAGGTTTCTCGACCTGGAAGTCGGGACCCCTGGGGAGGTCACGAAGGGGTTTTCAGAGGGGTCACCAAAGACCATTAGAAAACACATATTTCTGATGGTTTTAGGAACCATTTTGGCAGAGAAGATCTCTCCACCTGTCCTTCTCTTCCTTTTAGGTGTTGGTGAACTACAACTCCCAGAATTCAAAATAGCTGCCCCCCAACCCCACCAGTATTCAATGTTGGCCATGTAGGTAGTGTGTCAAGTTTGGTGCAGATCCATTGTGGGCTGGGTTCAGAGTGCTCTTTGATTGTAGGTTAACTATAAATCCCAGCAACTATAACTCCCAAATGTGAAGCTCTATTTCCCTCAAATTCCACCAGTGTTCACATTTGGGTATATTGAGTATTCATGCAAAGTTTGGTGCAAATCCATCATTGTTTGAGTCCACAGTACTCTCTGGATGTAGGTGAGCTATAACTCCAAAACTCAAGATCAATGCCCATCAAACCCTTCCAGTATTTTCTCTTTATCATGTGCCAAATTTAGTTCAATTCCATCATTGGTGGAGTTCGGAATGCTCTTGTAGGTGAACTATAAATCCCAGCAACTACAACTCCCAAATGGCAAAATCAACCACTTCCAATCCTACCGGGTGTTTGTGTCAAATTTGGTCCAGTGGATGAGAATACATCCTGTATATCAGATCTTTACATTACGATTCATAACAGTAACAAAATAGCAGTTATGAAGTAGCAACGAAAATAATTTTATGGTTAGGGGTCACCACAACATGAGGACCTATATTAAGGGGTCACGTCATTAGGAAGGTTGAGAAATACTGAGATAAGGCAATAAAATCGAGAGTTGCTTGACACCCTTACCAATTGGAAACCATTCCATTTCTCCCTATTCTATCCTAACAATCGTCTCTTGTTCTGAGTACACATTATACATCAGGATAATCCAATGTTGTGGTACACCCATTTCCTTAATAATGAGTCATAGCTTTTAAGTGTCTACAGACAAACACTTTCTCACAAAGACAGGCTGGTTTTTAAAAATTCTTTGCTGTGCTCCATTATCAAACATATGTTTGCAATAAAATCCCGATTGCCACTTCCTTTCCTGAACTCAGGTTGGATAGCTAGCAGTTCTTGCTCCATATGTTGAAAACATCTTTGTTGTAGAATTTTGAGCAGCATTTTCCTTGCATGGGAAATTAATGTAATGGTCCTGTGGTTACTACAATCCCTGATGTCCCTTTTCTTGGGGATTAGGATGTATATTTATGAGTGTTTTGTTTTCCATATTTGTTGACAGATATTAATTAGAACTAGACTAGATTATGTCTCTGTAGTTTTCAGCAAGTTCTCTTGCTCCTCGTGATTTTCCCCCTCTCAATTGGTCTAAGTACTGCTTTCACTGCACTTTTTAAACTGGAGGTTTGTTTCTGTATGGTTGTTATTCAAATGAATGTCATTCTTGCATTTCCTTTATATAGTTTTTGGGTGTATTGGGTTGCTGTGAGTTTTTTGGGCTGTATGGTCATGTTCCAGTAGCATTCTCTCCTGACATTCTGCCTGCATCTATGGCAGGCATTCTTAGAGGTTTGTTCAGAGATCTGATGCCTGCCATAGATGCAGGTGAAATGTCAGGTGCGAATGCTACTGGAACATGGCCTTACAGCACAAAAAAAATCACAGCAACCCTGTGATTCCAGCCATGAAAGCCTTCGACAACTCTTTGGTGAATTATTTCCATCTTCTTTTTATTTCTGTTAATTCATGTAATGTGTCCCTCTGCTGGTTATAAATTGTGCCTGTTATTTTCCTTTGATTTCTTGGATCACGTGGAAGAGGTCTCTTGTTCTTCCTTTTTATTGTCACCTTCTATTTCCCTGCATTGCTTTTCCAATGATGACAGTAATATCTTTCTCTCTAAAGAAAGCCAACAGAATGATGATCTGTGACATTACATAACTTTACATATACCTAGCTTTGTAGTAGAGGCACTAAGCAACCCCTTTACTAAAGTGTTCAGTCTTGTGCTAGGACACTAGCAAGAATGCCCAATGCACATCAGTTCGCAATATATATTGATCCACTACACATGTTAGAGCATGATTATGGAATTCTGAATCACATCAGACACCTAAGTGAGCTACTTTGTAACATAACTCTACTAGATGTAGATGTTACACAACTGTGCAATTCCAATTCGTAGATATGCAAGTCCACTTGTGAAGATATAAGATTGCAACAATATTCTGTGCCATGAACTGTATTCCACAGGATATTTCCATGGCAGTTAAAGTGGAATAATAGTACTATAACAATAGAGTGTTCTAGGGTCCTAAATTAATGGCGAATGTGTGCATTGAAGCACCAGCAAGAGGATTCTGAAGTGCATTGGGTGCTCTCTCTCCTTCGTGACAAGCATGTCTTAGGCACCTCTGTTGACCATTGGGTATTTCACATGCTCATTGGTCGCTTATGATGCATATTGGGCACTCCTCTTGCATATGTCGACATGTGGATTGGGAGTGCTCCAAGGGTGCATTGGTGCCTATTGCACATCAAGGCCATGGTACATCAGTTAATCTATTAGCTATCATTGTGTAATGGACATCCATATATTGTAATGTCAAGGCAGCCTTGGAAAACTACTCCATGTGTTTCTCACACATGTGAGTCAATTTACAAACATGTAAGTCCCATGCTGAATTCCAGCCTACAACAATAACAATAATGTAAGTCTTGGTAGACCATTCTCTGTCTTGGGTGAAACAGCACAAGGGAGTAGCAAGTCTGAACCAATGGTGGAGATGTTTTCTGGCACTGTTACTGCAATTGATGTCAGTAATGGAAAATATTTGGCTTTCCCCATTACTGGTGACCTTAGAGCAAGATATGTAGCTGTTGCTGATCCAAACCTGTTTATGATTGCAATCACATATTAAGCATAAACTATGCGCCTACACAAGCATGCAGTTCTACAACAGCAAAATGCTATTAATAGCTTCCTCAAGGTTGTTGTTCAGTATTAGAAAGAATTTCCTCATATTCCTGAAGCAGCTCAACCTGTCTTGCAAAATCTTTTGCCTTTATCTGTTGGATTGCACAATTATTCCAAACACCTAAGCATCTTGGCATAGAGGCAGAAATTCTTTACTAGCCAAAAAATAATGTCTGCTTGAGAGTACCGTAATTACCAAATTAAAGCAGAATCCAAAACTTTTCTTTTCATATATAATCATGTATAAGTTAACCTCATGTATAGGTCAAGGACAGGTTTCGAGATCAAAGTTATGGATTTTTATCTTACCTGTGTATAAGTCAAGGGTCATTTCAGAGATAGGAGAAAAGGCCAGTGATGTCTCGAGGGGGAAGCTTCTCTTGGCTGCTTCAATAGTCATTCTGTCCTTTTCTACTCTGTTCAGAGAAGGGGGTGGTTCCTTTTATATATATGAGTTAAGGTATAATGCTTTCCAATGCCTCCTGAGCGCTTCCAGGTTTTTTGTCCACCTTTCCTGCCTGGTCATAGGGAAAGGCAGGAAGGAGAAAGTGCTCTCAGACAGTATTCCCAGCACCAGATGAGTCCTTACTGTGACTCACTCAGTTCCTGGAAAAAAGAAATGAGGACAGGATTCCTCTTCTTGTTTCTGGTCAATGCCAAGAGGTAACAGGGGGGAATTCGTGTGTGTATGTGTGTGGGGGGGGGGGGGGTGTGGAGGTAAGGGGCCACTCAAACCCTCACAGATTGGGCTAGGTGTATTCCCCATCAATTGTCTCTCCTCTTCAGCATAGGCCCTTGGAGGGCATCTTTGGGCCCATGGGATCACTTCAAATTCCACCTTCCAGAGAGGTCCACCTTCGGAGAGGAAGATCCTACCTCCGCTTCCATTCCAGTAGAAATGTGCATGGCTCTTACTTCTCAGCTGGAACTCCTTGTGATGTGAAAAGGGGGCAAATCAGGGTTTGGTATGGGCAAGTCCTTTGGGTTCAAATCCCTTCCCATCTCCAACCACACCCTGCAGTGGAGTTTTATGCCCGCCCTGGGGATGGGAATAAAAACAATCCCCTGACCCCCAAGACTGGATGTAAGGAACAAGGTCATCCTCTCTTCTCAGCCTTTGTTTCTTCCCTCCTGATAGAGCTTTGGGTAAATATCAGGCACTTTGATGTTTGAGAACTTGGGCTCTACTTTGATGTCAGAGAACATTGCTCTACCTGTAGCTCTTTACACATATAACACACCTGAATTACTGGTTTCCTAAACAGATATGCAGGTTCCTCAAGGTCCATGTAAGGATGTGTATGGGTCCATCTAATCCATAGCAAACAGAGGTCAATGGGAGTCTGTTCCTCCGTTAATAAGCAGCTGGCCAATTGACCCACACACTCCTTTCTATGAATGATCGCTGGCACAAGGGGAAATTGCGTGTGTGTGCTGCTGTCTGTCACACTGGAGACCACTCATGGGAGAAGGTGGGACTGTCAATCAGCTGCTTCCCAATCAACAAGAAAATGGGCCTCTGCCACACTGAGGTCAGAGTGAAGAAGGGGAGCCAGGAAGACACCGTTCCACCATGTCTCATGGGTCATCAGTTAGGAGCCCCTCCCCCCAGCAACAATATAGTAATATATAATGCTAATTTTGTGCTATGCTAACAATATAGTATTTTGTATGCACATGTAATATTGATCATAATATTGTAATACAATATATTACTAAAAATACAATATAATAATATAATAATTATATATTATATATTATCTGTAACATTACTATTTACTAATAATATTGCAGGATAGTGGTATAGTACAATATAGTAATATATAGTACCAATATTGTGTTATGCTAATAATATACTATATTGTATGTACATATAACTTGTAAGCCAGTCTGATTCCTCTTTGGGGTGAAAAGGGTGGGACATAAATGCCGTAATAAATAAAATAAAATAAAATAAATCTTAGCTAAATAAGGATTGGGGGAATCAGGACAGAAATTATGGCATAGCACCATAATGATGGTGTTTACACATTTATAACTCCCCAATCAAATTTAGGCTAACATCTTTAACTTTGGTATGTTGTGAATTTTTTGCTATGTTTGTTTTAAGCCACCTTGAGTCCCGAACTGGGACAGGTGGGATGACAAAGCAATAACAACATATTTGCATCTATACATCTTGCGTGTGCGCTTTCAGCATGTAACTTACTTCAGCTAAGGTAGGGGGAATGGCCCCCTTGATGTTCTTAAACTGCAACTCCCATCAGCCTCAGCCAGTATACTCAAGAGGTGGTGGGGTGATGGGAGTTGCAGTTGAACAACATTTGAAGTGTTACATGGTCCCATTCCTGAAGGAAAGCACTGGAAGTTTGACCTGTAGCTTGATGAGATTTTTCCACCCTCTTTTCTTCTATTCCAGCTCGTGCAGTGATGCTGTTTGCCCTCATTCCTCTGACAACCATCAGGTCTTTGTTATCCAAACAGGTCGAAGGATCATCTTATGGTAAGGAGCTGCTTTGAACATCCCAGTATTCTTAAATGTAAAAAATTATACATATTACATTTAAAATAAGCTTCTCTTATTTCATTCAGAAAAAAGTCAGAAAGGCTAGTTTCTATCATTTTGTTAAATGTGTCAACATAGTAATATCCAGAACTGTCTCCTCATTCCAATTTGACGGATGTTCTGTGAGAGTCATCCAGGAGAGACAACAGTAAGTTGACAAGCTACATAAACCCATCTCCTGTTGCTGAATTCAACAATATTTTGTTGTCTTTTAAAAAACAGCACTTTTACACCAAAACAATGTTTATGGGGAATTGACTTTGATTTTGTTTTAATGGTTTTGAACTGGGACTTTTTTAATACTGTTTATATTTAATCCTGTTTTAATTTTCATATATTTGTGTGTGTGTGTGTGTGTATGTATGGTTATGCTAATGCTTTTATGTTAAGCCGCTTTGAGTGCCCTTCAGGGGAGTTTGTGTGTGTGTGTGTGTGTTGAGAAACTGTAAGTCACTTCTGGTGTGAGAGAATTGACCATTGCCCAAGGGATGCACAGATGTTTTGATGTTTTACCATCCTTGTGGGAGGCTTCTCTCATGTCCCTGCATGGGGAGCTGGAGCTGACAGAGGGAGCTCATCTTCACTCTTTCCGGATATGGACCTCTGACCTGTCAGCAGAAGGGTTTAACACGTTGCACCACCAGGGGCTCTTTCCGGGGAAATAAAGTGGAATAATAATAATGATAATGATGGTGATGATGATGATGATGATGTGTGTCCATGACCTCCAAGAGTCTGATGATACAAACATTCAGATTAGATCCAACTGAAGGTTTTAGGACACTGCCAGCAAAACACCTACTAAGGGTACCTTGGATCTTATCCACTTTTTATCACAATGGTCAAAAACATAACTATGTTACCTGCAGAAGTGTCAGGAAGAAGATCGGAGCTGGGAACTCCTTCATGCCCACCCCATTTACATTTCCTGGGTGACAGAGGAACAGACCTACATCAATCACAGTTGCTGCTTCCCTGTAAAGCGGCGTTGGTAGGGTGAAAGGACAGGGGTCTTGACTGCTTTAACACTATATATGGTAAAGGTAAAGGTTTCCCCTTGACATTAAGTCTAGTCATGTCCAACTCTGGGAGGGTGGTGCTCAACTCCATTTCTAAGCCAAAGAGCCGGCGTTGTCCGCAGATGCCTCCTAAGTCATGTGGCTGTCATGACTGCATGGAGTGCCATTATGGTATATAGATCTATATATCTCCCATACAGAATTCCAGCCAGTTATTCTAAGTTCCGCTATAAACCTTCTGAAATCCAACATCTGCCAAGTCTTGAAAATAGTTTTACTTATATTAATCATTGGTCTGATATATGTTTGACTGGGATACTAGATTTTAGTTTTATCCACTCAGCCCTCTATATCCATGAGTTCTGTATCCATAGACACAACCATTCACAGTATGAAAATATTCCCCCACCACAACCCCAAAAAACCCAACTGAAGGAAAATTTCATTGGAGGAGACGGTTTTCTTCTTTTGGGGGCAATGCCTTCATTTTGCTCACCCATACCCCCAGGTAGCTACAGCCCTGCCCAACAGCCCGAACCAATATAGTCAGTGGAGAGAGAGGATGGGATTTGCAATCCAACAACACTATCACTTTTCAAAGGACAAAACAGGGGAGACTAGAGCTCCTAAATATCCAGTCCGTTATTTTAACACACTTGTCAATGTGAGGCAGGGGGGCTTAAGGAAAGGAACCATGGTTTAGAATTGCTTTAAGTGCTGTTTCAATCTATTTTCCTTCCTCTCTCACTTCTAGGAAAGGTGTTTGTTCTCCTGCAGCTCTCACTGGTGATCACAGGTGCTGTGACTTTAACAGCCTATAATAAAATCTACCAAAATACGCTGAGCTGGTTCAGTGGATTCTGCTTCTTATTATCATGTGGTGTCGGCTGCCTAAGCCTTATCCCTATCAGGTACATTTTTGAAACAGTGCCATTCCTTCTTAAAGTTGTATATGTGTGTGAGTGGGTGGGCTGCTAAGAACATTTAGGTGGCATAGAGATTTTATCTGATTTTAGCATCTGCTTTTATTCAAACTTTTGGAAAGCCATAACCTTTGAGAGATCATAACCTTTTGGAAAACCAGAATCTCCATAACCTTTTGGAGAAAAATGGCATTCACAACTATTTGAAAATCATAACCTTTTCTAAAAGTATGATCTTCCAGAAAAGAGCCAAAAACTCATTTGAGTAAAATCTTCTCTTCAGTGGTATATAGCCACATGTATTGATGCAAGTCAATATGGCTCCTAGTTGTCAGACTGATAACTGATAATCTAGTAGTCTCTGATCCATTAGGAACAGAGATTATGCCAATGCACAAAATATAGTTCTTCAGAAGTGTTCTTTTCCGTGCCCAAAACATCTATTCTCCCATAAAATATCTTGCTCTCAAGAGACAAAAATAAAGTAGACTTCATTAAAAGGAACACATCTAGTTTGCTCACAACTTTGATGTATTCAGCATACAGATACATAACATGTCAATCTAGTTACAGATAGGTTTCTTATGATCTTAAGAGTCCACAGTCTAAAGCATATCTGTGTTTGAAAATGGAGTCTTAACTTTGAGCAGTCCCAGATCTGATCCACACAGCCCCATATCCCAGAATATCAAGGCAGAAAACCCCACATTATCGGAGTATGGATTCAGATAACCCAGTTCAAAATTGTGGGATTTTCTGCCTTGATATTCTGAGATATAGGGCTGTGTGGAAGGCCCCCTAGAAATCTGATCAGATCTTATCCAGCTGACTCCTGTATTAAGCAAAGCGTGGAATAGTTTCTTTTTGGACTACATGTTCCATAATCCCACAGAGATGTTGCCCAAAAGCAACTTTTTTCATGCTTTGAGTTTTGCGAAGAATGCCCCACAAGTGATTCTAGCTACCCTTTAGAATTATGGGTGTTTGATATTGCATTAACTGCTGTGATTCAATAATATGAAATTCTGGGATTTGTACTTTAGTGAGATAATTACCCTTTTCTGTCAGAGAGACCTGTGCTACAACAAACTGGAAATCTTAAGATTTTATAGGATGGAGCTATGGCAATTAAAGTGGCCTCTAACTGCTATAATTCTGGAGTGTGAAACTAGAACTAGGGTCAGACTGTTCATATGTGGAATTGTAGGCGGTTGTGGGAACTGATTGCAATGAACTTTTGATGCTGTGCTATTTAATTTTTTTTTAGATTTTGTCTTTATTGGATTTTAAATATTTCTTGTTCTAGAGAGTGTTTAATTTTAGACAAAAATCACACATACATATGTATACTTCAAAACATGAAAAACAAAAGAGGAAGAAAAAGATTTTCTGGATCTAGATCCCTCCCTTTTCCAAACTGAAAACATTTAAAAATATATCTATCTAGCTATATTGATATTGAGGCAGGAACCAGAAAAGGTTGCACTTTTCTTAACACTGTAGAGCCACAAAGCTCTCGTTTTTTGTTGTTCTTGTTCACTCTGCATGTCCACATGGGTTAGATCTTACTTTTAAACGATCCCAAGGAAAGGCAAGCAAAGATGTGAGGTTGTTTTATAGCAAGTTTGTAGGCAAGAGTGATTGTGGTTTTGTTTTTCTACATTAATCCACTCTGTGTTCCCTGTGGCTTTTCTTCCCTGCAGTGTTGTAGCGTGCAAGCAACGCCGATCCTCTGGTTCACTGGAGATTTTAACTGACTGAGAGCTGCAAGGGGCTGTCCCTTCTTCAGACACAAAGACACGTGGCGTGGAGTCACTACCAATGCCAAGCAGTCTGGAGCTCTTGACTGCACAAAAGAAAATGGAGGAATCTTGTCCTGTGACACAGATTTTAGAAACTGACTATGGTACGATCTCATGTGCTTGTGATGACACAAGAAAAGGACAAGGAAGTAGGCATAGCGATCAGTATTTACAGATGAAAGTTTGGCCTTGCTTCTGCTTTTTCTTTGGCCCAGAGTTGTTTTCAAGAATCATTTTGCCCAGATTTGGTTCCAGAGTCTGGAAAAATTCTTGCTAAAAGTAGCTCATTGCTCAGCACCTTTGGAACACAGCTCATTTGTCACATTACTATCTGGAAGTACACTACTTTTAGGTACAGTGCCACCCCCTTATTTAAGGGGAACATGTTCCCGGACCTAACATGGAATCTTGAAACTGAAGATAATTGCAAACTCTCTTGAAATAAACAACTTCTGATGGAAGCACACTGTAGAATAATATTTGAGGAACTAGAAAATGTCTGGTGATGCAGTGGGTTAAACCGCTGAACTGCTGAACTTGTTAACCGAAAGGTCACAGGTTCGAATCTGGGGAGAGGAGTGAGCTCCCGCTGTTTGCCCCAGCTTCTGCCAACCCAGCAATTCAAAAACATGCAAACGTGAGTGGATCAATAGGTACCGCGCTTCATGCAATCATGCTGGCTACATGACCTTGGAGATGTCCACAGACAGTGCTGGCTCTTCAGCTTAGAAATGGAGATGAGCATCAACCCCAGAGTCAGATGCGACTGGACTTAATGTCAGGGGAAAACCTTTATCTTTACCTCAGAAAATGCCAATAGAAAACTGGGGGGGGGGGGTGTTAATAGAAAACCGGGGGGTGAAATTGTGGGTACTAGTCTCATAGAAGCAGGGTTGTATTGTTTTTTGGACAAATCAAAGCACTGAGTGATCACTTTGTTTTGTAGAAAACTTGCTGCTTTTGGAGGCTTCCAATTCCCATTTTTCAGCCAGAACAAACTGCTGCAATGGGTGAATCTTGAGATGGTCAGGGGAATCTAAAATGGTGTGGGTATATACAGTCAATTGCTGTGTAATTCCCATCCCATGAGCTACTATCAAAAGATGCTGGGCCTTGGATGAACCTGGGTGGTCTCACAATATATACTTCTCCTGGTGGTCCATGCTGTTACATTGAGAATAGATTAGTGCAATGCACTCTATGTGGGGTTGCCTTTGAAGACTGTTCAGAAGCTTCAAATGGTCCAATCGGTGGCTGCCAGGTTGCTTAGAGGAGCAGCGTACAGGGAACACACAACTCCCCTGTTGCATCAGCTCCACTGGCTGCCAGTCTGCTACTGAGCACAATTCAAAGTGCTGGCTTAAGCCTATAACGCCCTAAATGGTTCCGGCCCAGCTTAACTGTCCAAACTTATCTCCCTCTATGATCCACCTCGGGGGAGATCCCGCTCTCGGTCCCACCTCCCACACAAGCATGACTGGTGGGGACGAGAGACAGGGCCTTTTCAGTGGTGGCCCTTTGTCTATGGAACTCCCTCCTGAGTGAAATTAGATCAGCCCCCTCCCTCCTGGCTTTCAGAAAGAAACCTAAAACCTGGCTTTGGGATCAGGCCTTTGGTCACTAATGGGAGCAATGCAATAAGAGATGATAAATTAACACTGATGACTTGAACTGGCCTTGGATTATGGCCTGGATTGTGCAATTTAAATTGTTTTAATGTGCTGTTTTTAACTGGTTGTTTTTTAATGTTTTGTTTATTTACCAATGATATGTGTACATTCAGCATCTAATTGTTGCCTTTTTAAGGCCACCCTGAGTCCACTTTAGAGTCGAGAAGGGTGGAATTTAAGTGTGGTATATAAATAAATAAACAAACAAACAAATAATGGTGGCATCCAAATTCCCCAACTAGGAAGCAATTTTAGAACTGATGCTACTGCTCACACCTTTACAGCTGCTCATAGTTATATAGGAGCTCAAGAAAAGGTCTGTCTGGAGTAGCTGTGGGAGAAGGAGCCATTAAATGTAAACGTTTTATCCCTTTGGAAGTAGTGCTTCTCCACTCCTACTGTCACAGATGTGTCTTCAAAAACCCTAGTGACTTTCTCTGCAGAGATTGCGATCCAATTCTTTTCATGCAGCTTGTTTGCCAGACTCCCTTCATTGGCCCTACCTGCTGGTAGAACCAAAAATCAATTTGAGTTCTATTAATTGAGATTGGAACGATTGAGTTATCCGTCACTTCATGATCCAACAAGGCTTCGGCAGAAGCAACAGCCATGAGGACTGGAATCTCTGCTCAAACAGACTGAAAACTATCTGAAGAATACACCTAAATCTTCCATCCTCAGGGGGTTAACACTCGTGTAGAGCGGTGGAGAAAAGATCTCCAGCCCGTGCAGGAGTTGGAATCTGGCTCCTGGAGGTACTGGATCTCTTTTGGTCTTGTTCCCGAGGTTACCTCCAGACTATAAAAGATGGGAGGAGAATCCAGTTCTTATCTCTGATCATTGATAGGCAGTAAGAGAGGGATTTTTCCCCACTGCATGCAACTCTTCCTTCCAGTCAGAAGGAAGAATGGTTCACAAAGCCAGCTGCTCTCTGCTAGGATTGCCAGTGCCAGTTAAAAGTACTTCTCTCTCCTCTCTTCCTCATGCAGAGGAAGGGAGGATTGGAAAGGATTATGGATATCTTAGCAGGGAATTTGGCCCACAGAGTTGTGCAATAGGAAGACTCAATGGCTTTCTGCACCTTCTGAAGAGGGATATAGTCACTGGATACCTAAATCTTCCTAGCAAGTATTCTATGAGAGAATTACACCATCTCCACAACCTGTTTCCATGCCTGGTATGTAAACACACCCATTCATTGTATTGGTGATATTGGCTGTGTACCGCAGTAGCCACGGCAATAGCAAAGTCCTAAATAATCATCATCATCATCATCATCATCATCATCTTTATTTATATACTGCTCTATCTCCTCTAGGGGACTCAGGGAGGTTTCCACATAAGCAAGCACGCAAAAAAACATAGAGCAGCCATTTAAAAACATAGACATAAAACTATTAACACAATCCTATACATTAAAACAAACCAATTCCAACATTATTCCATTGTGCAGAATAAGTTACCAACGGGCCGACTTTCCAATGGGCCTAGACAATTTGAAAGGGCTGCGCTGGGGCTTGTGAGATAGTAATATAGGAAATGGATAAAGTGCAAAAAGTGGTACTAATGGCCAGAGTAGGGCCTGGGGCTACTCATTTCCAGGGCCTACTGACAATTATAAAGCAAAGTCTGGCCAGGGCTAGTACCCCAAGATGGAAGAGGACCAAGGGAATGGCTAAGCTGTTTGCCCTACATCATATGCCCTTTGCATGTATGTTGAGATGGGCAACTTCCCAGAATCTGGACCCATTTGTTTCTCCCTCTTGCCCTGGTGTGGTTTGCGTCATGCCAAAAGCAGAAATTGTCAGAAGTGGATTTCTGTGTATTAAAGTTCCTTTAAAAGGACTTTCTTAATAACCAAAAGACTTGTTATTTTTAAAAGCTTGCCTCACAGAACCCAACTGTCCATGCTTTAATGGATTTTAAAAAGTATTGGTGACCCCATGCAAGCTATAATTAAGGCTGGTCCAAGTTGTTGTTGTTGCTGTGTGCCTACAAGTCATTGCCAACTTATGGTAACCCCAAGGCAAACCTATAAGGGGATGTCAGTAGAGTTATCCCTTCACATTTTGCAGGTTTGATTATTTACAAGTGTGTACCTGTTGCTTAATTAGCTCGACACCTCACACCTTCTGTCAGTCCATTAATGTCATCCATCACTCCATTTACCACTTTGCAACGATGGAGATTCAGCCTAAGTTTAAAGCCCTTCTTGTTGATCCAACACCTCAACTCATGATTTCTAATCAGCTTTATGGATTTTAACTGTTATTTTAATTAATACCATTGATGCTTAATTCTATTTTAATGTTTGTATATTTTTGAATTTTATATAGGATTGAAATATTTTTAATATAAGCTGCTTTGATTCTCCTTTGGGGAAAGAAAAAGCAGGGTATAAATAAACATAATCATCACTGTATCCTCGAAGGCTTTCATGGCCGGAATCACCGGGTTGTTGTAGGTTTTTCAGGCTGTATGGTCATGTTCTAGAAGCATTCTCTCCTGACGTTTCATCTGCATCTATGACAGGCATCCTCAGAGGTTGTGAGGCCTCTCCTGACATTTCGCCTGCATCTATGGCAGGCATCCTCAGAGGTTGTGAGGACCTCACTCATTCTGCTACCACCGCCTTGAATCATTCCTTCTGCTGCCAAATTTTAACACTATTGCATGTGGTTTCCTGGTGAGATCTGTTCAGAAGAGGTTTGCCATTTCCTTTCTCTGAGGATGAGAAAATGTGGCTTGCCCAAGATGCGTTCATGACTGAACAGATATTCAAACCCTGGTCTCTAATCTAATGTTCAAACCACTACACTATGGGATTACCAAAGTCAAAATACGGTGTCATAAGCTGAAGAACTGGGGGTGGGGGGGGGGGGATGGCCAATTTCCAGGTGTGGAAAGGAGTAAAGTATTATGTTAACACAATGACTGTTTCAATGCCACCTCAAAATACCAAGAAACAGATCATGACACTGTAAAAAAAATCATAAGTGCTGACAGAAAAAATTAACAAGGTTGCTCACGGGAGTGGGGTCCAGGGAGCGTACAACTCCCTTGTTACACCAGCTCCACTGGCTGCCTATTAGCTTCCAAGCACAATTCAAAGTAGTGGTTTTCACCTATAAAGCCCTAGATGGTTCCGGCCCAGTTTACCTGTCCGAACGTATCTCCCCCACTGCAGTCATGTTTAGTGGGGACGAGAGACATGGCCTTCTTCATGGTGGCCCCTCAGCTATGGAACTCCCTCCTTAAGGAGGTTACATCTGCCCCCTCCCTCCTGGCCTTCTGGAAGAAACTTAAATCCTGTCTATGGGATCAAGCATTTGCAGAATAGACTGATTTTACTGGTGAAGATAACATTTTATTTGACCACAATTTGGACTGATTTGGATGATGTTTTTAACCTGGTGAACTGTTTAAATGTATATTTATACCTATTTTATGTATTTGTCTGTATTTTATTATGTGTTTTATATTGTATCAGCATTGAATTGTTGCCTGTTGGAAGCCGTCCCGAGTTCCTTCTCGGAAGTCGAGAACAACAGGGTATAATTCTAAATAAATAAATAAACTGCCTATGACTTTAAATTCCATTTCCCAAATGTTTTATGGGGTCAGAAGCCCTTGCCATATTGACAACCTCAACAAAAACAGCTCAGTTTTTAAAAATAACCTACAACAGTTTCACATGCAACAAAGTTGGACATCCATAATTCTCTGCCAGACTGCATTAAGATCATTGAGATTTGCAGTTTCTCAAGTCGCTCCTGACACGACAAAAAAAC